AATGAAAAAACAACACTTTGACTCTAGTATTATGAACTCTAAATGACTTCAAATTAAAAGTTTTGAATACCAAGTTTGTTCAACTCATCAAGATCTACAATTGTTGTTTTGGTCAACTTTCCATTTGAGATAGTTTGGATGGTTCAAATTTGTGATTTTTAAATTTCGACGTTTACAAACTAGTTTTCGGAACCCTAGATTATCTCAAATTGAAAAGTTTTGAATACCAAGTTTGTTCAGCTCATCAAGATCTACAATCCTTATATAGGCTATTTTTTCATTTGAGAAAGTTTGAACAAAATATAGTTTAAATTTCACAAGTGTGTGACATAGTTTCAGAAAGTCTATATGAGATTCAAGAATTTGTGGCTAGTGTTTGATAAAACTTTCTCAAATGGGAAAATGAGCTATGTAGCAATTGTAGATCTTGCTGAGATGATCAAACTTGGTATTCAGAGTTTTTTCATCTGAGGTCATTTAGTGTCTCATTTGAGCAACTTTGACCAAGTCAAATTTGGTCAAATGAAAAAACAACACTTCGACTCTAGTATTATGAACTCTAAATGACTTCAAATTGAAAAGTTTTGAATACCAAGTTTGTTCAACTCATCAAGATCTACAATTGTTGTTTTGGTCAACTTTCCATTTGAGATAGTTTGGATGGTTCAAATTTGTGATTTTTAAATTTTGACGCCTATAAACTAGTTTTCCATTTGAGAAAGTTTGGACGGTTTAAATTTTGAAGCACTAAATGATTTCAAACGAAAAAGTTGTAAACAACAAAGTTTCATAACTTTTTGAGATCTACAATTTTTATTTTGATCATTTCTCCATCCAAGGTCGTTTGAATAATATCCGGATAATATCCGTTTGAATAATATCCGGATATATCCGATACTTAACCGGATTATCCGATATCCGCCGGATATCGATGATATTACATTCGTATTTGATATCCGCCTAAGATATCCGTTTTATTATCCGTATCCGAAAAAAATTACGGATATCCGAGTAACTATCCAGATAAATATTCATATTTGTTCGGTCGAACGGACGATCGAATAAATATCCGTACCGTTTTCATCCATACCTGTATCCAAAGGAGCCCTGTACTAATGAGCAACCACATTACATCAGTGCAAGGATGAAAATGGTCAGGAATAGTCAGTAACAGCCTTTTTACTACTTTTAATTTCATATTTTTACGTGAAAACGCAAACGAAATGGAAATTCCGATTGAGAAACGGAAATGGTTATATTGGGAAATAAAAAACGAAATAATATGGTCAGAAATAATGGTTGAGAACTGATAATTATCCGGAACACTAAACAACGTGGTACTAACGACTTCATGTTTTTGGTGGCCACAAACCAACTATATATAATATATAGTACCACAAATCCACAAAGCATGAGGTATGGTAAACTTATCATCAACGCCTTTTTTTTAGAAAAATCGACTATAGAATATTTCTTTTAATTTTCATTATTTACTTTAGAATTCAAATTCTTTTAAAAAAGATGGAAAAGGGAAGAAATGCTAACGACCTGGACTCAACTGAATCCCTATTTGGTTCCTATAGATAATAGCTATCTGCTAATAGTTATATCTATTATATTGGATCCAAATAGTACAGTTAGTAAAATAGCTAATTGTTAGATGGACCTCTAGATAATAATTATCTCGCTAGTTGGACCAAATGAGATAATAGCAGCTAATAGTTATCTTAGGTCATGTTTGGATTAATTATCTGCTAATAGTTAGCTATAGTTAGCTGGCTAATGCTAGTAATTAAGAACCTGTTTGGATTCATTATCTACTAGTAGTTAGCTGACTCATAGCTCATATCTCATATTAGCTACCTAACTATTAGCTACCTATTAGCTGGAGGGTGTTTGAATGCATAGCTAATGAAAAATGTTACTAAGATAATTATTAGTTGCTATTATCTTATTTGGTCCAATTAGTGAGATAGTCTAGAGGTCTGGCTAACAATTAGTTATTTTATTAACTACACCTGTTTAAATTCAAAAGAGATAACTAGTAGTAGATAGTTATTATCTAAAGGGATCCAAGCATGACTTTAGTAGCATTTTTTAAGAAGTTGTGAATCCAAACACCCTCCAGCTAATAGGTATCTAATAGTTAGCTAACTAATATAAGATATGAGCTATTAGCTAGCTAACTATTAATAGATAATTAATCAAATAGAGCATGAGTCAACATGAGATGAGAACATGAGCGAACTCCCAGGTGGGATCGTGAATGGAGTTGGGCCAAACCCGACACCAGCGCTCTTGGGCCGCAGGAGACATGTAGCCGCACACAAGAGCTAGTGGTCTGCTGCTTGCCGCAAGCTGCATTTGTCCCATGCTGCTGCAGAATTAACCTGGATTCAATTCTGATAGTACACTTCGTCTTCCCCTCCTACAGTCAGGTGTGATAACCTCGGCTCTCGCTACCGGAACATGGACCACTACCCCAGTATATTAGGGTAGTCTCAACCCTAAAACTAGGGTGCTATTTGGGAAAACAAAATTAGCCTACTCCAACTTATTTATGATTTAAAGGCTTTGTTGTTGATGATGGTGCTGTGGAATTACAACCTGGAGTGCGGCACTATCTTTGTCTACTGGATTTGTTTTTGTGCATGCGTATGCAGGGTGGTTGTAACCACCACCTGTGATATCAGAATCAGATATGTACTAAAATTTAGCTTATGCTGATGCTTATGTTGAAATATTGTGAGAGGAAAATACTATTCCATGACTAAAAAGTAATGCTGAATAAGCTCAAGTGAACAGGGCGGTGTCACACGCCGGACTCGGTTGTGGCACCGCCGCATGGTTTCTTTTTTGACATAATTCGATGTGGCGCCGTTAGATTAGGTTAGTTTTAGTTTGTTTGACGTACCATGTGAACTGATGCCACGAAAATAGATCATGACCTTCAGGGAGCCGTTCACGCCCAATCAACAACGGTAGCCGATGGCACTCGCATTGTCCAACGTTGGACCGAACAAAAAAGCACAATAGTTATTTCCCTTCCCGTTGCAGCTAGGTAGTTATTTCCTTAGCGTTATCGTTGCTGGTGGTGCAACCAAACAGCACCTAGGATAGTTTCCATAGTATTAAATAATATATCAAGTAAGTATTTTTTTTTGCTAATGTGATAAGTGAGGAGAGAGAGTAAAATATGTAGACAACGTTTCTCAGGTGAGAAACAGAGTCTTCTCGCGCACCTATGCACATAAAAGCGACGAATCTTGCGATGGGCAGACCCGGGTGGTTTCCATCTGCACTGTGTCCCCGTAGAAGTGGATCGGCTGCGTCTGCGCCCTTGTGGCCCTGGTTTGGTGCATCCGCCTCTTCTACCAAGGGAACTTCCAAGCGAGGCTTTGGAACTCAACCCGCCGCTGCTCTTGCCCGTTGCGTGAAGCCTGCGGTGCTCCGACTCCCTTAATAGCTAGACGCGCACGCTCAGGATGGATAGCAGCACACCCGACATGCCTATTGCCTTCCTCCTCTATCCCCCATCGCCTCCTCCTCCCTCCCTCCCTCCATACCCATCTTCCTCCTCCCTCCCGTCACCTCGACCACCGCCCCTGCCGCCAGCGATCTCCTCGCCCGGCGCCCACCCACATCGGACCATCCCGCCTTCCTTTAACCCCAATCGAAGAGTTTGCCAGCGACTCCTCGCCCCTGCCCCAGCACCGCCCATCTGGTTGTCTCCCACCGCCCGCTTGGCAGCGCCGCTGTCGTCTGGTTCGCCACCCCTCCGCCACCATCACTTGTCTAGTCGCCTCCGTCGGACCCTTCCCTTTCTAATCCCGCTAGCCATGGAAGACTCCCCTAAAAATCCAAAACCCTAACCACCGCCGCCGCTGCCTCCTCCACCGCCCCGGCCCGCAGCGACCTCGCCGTCGGCTGTCCCACCCACCGCCCGCCTCCCCCCCTTCGGATTTCACCAGTGGCGTCCTCGCACGTGCGTCGCTGGGGATAGCGACACACGGGTGCCAAATAAGAATTTGGGCAGCGCACCTGCTCCTATTTGAGATCCAAACCTGTTGTCAAATACCACGTCATTCGTGTGTGATTCATCCCTAGCAGAATGGATTGGTATGGCCCCCTTGTTTTTTTTCCAAAGCTAGTTCCTCGAAGAGATTTGATAGTTTATGATAAATTAATTTCATTGTCGATGATCTTGTGAAATCGCTGAGTCAGTAGTATTTTGTTGGTTGCTTGTCACAACTGATCAACCTCTTTATTTTGTGCACTTATGTTTTGCTCTATATAGAAACTGTTATGTAAATCATGGGTTAGAAAGAATAGTTTCTACTAGATAATAATTCCTATATTTCTTCTCTGCAAAACTATCTATGAAAACTATAGGTTGAGACTGCCCTTATGCTATGCACTTATATATGCATTATGTCTAGATAAAAAAATTATATCTAGAAAACTAAAACGTCCTATAATTTAGAATGGAGGGATACGTTTTTACTATCCAGAATCATAATTATCAATACTATTTTCATAAACTTAGTTAAATTTAAAATAATATGGCTTGGACCAAATCTAGAAGAACACTCTTTTTGGACAAAGGGAGTATGATTCTTTGGTTATGGAATTTTATTTTCAAATTTAGAATAGAATTGGTTCCTGAATATTACCTCAAATAAGTGTGAAATTACCTGTCGTATGTTTACTCGATACCATAAAAATCAACAACAACAGCTAGTAAAACTGGAACCAGTTCATAACAATAAACACTGTGCTTTTTGGCAAAAGAATTACAATTATATATACAAGAGAAATGTTCTCTTCCAAACTGGAATTCTCTCTCTCGCTCGCTCGCATTTTTTCCGCACACATGTCGAATTCTGTCGATAGCTGAAGGAAAACATCTGCTCGTCGAGCGAGCCGTTTGGTCGCGTCTCCACCCATCAGAGAAACCCTAATCCTCGTCCCCTCCCCTCCCCCCGAAGCCGAAAATCGCCATGGCGACCCCGTTCCGCCCGTCCGCGCCCGCCCCGTCCGCCAAGGGCGGCTGCGGCGGCGACCGCTGCGCCTCCGGCCGCGACGCGTGGCCGCTCCACCACTTCCGCCACGAGGGGGTCTTCTGCCTCCTCTGCTCCTCCTGCGTGCTCCTCTACAGCCCGTCCGCCTTCTGCGCCGCCTGCCTCCACATCCTCTCCTCCTCCCCCGCCGCCGCCGCCGCTTCCCCGGGCGACCCCGCCGTCGCCGCGCCCGGGCCCACCGCGCCCTGCTCCGCCTGCGGCGTCTCCGTCGCGCACCTCTCCTGCGTCCCGGGGGCGGACCGTCACCCCTTCGTCTGCCCGCCCTGCGCCGCCGCCGCCGAGGGCAGGGCCTTCTCCTTCGCGCCGGCGCCCGGCCGCCGCCCGCTCCAGGAGCGCGACGCGCGGGTCCTCCTCGTGGCCGCGCGCCTCGCGCACGACTCCGTCAGCCGCGCGCCGCGGCCGCCGCCCGCGAGGAGGCGGAGCGCCGCGTCGCCGCGGCCGCCGCGGCAAGGAAGCGCTCCCGCGAGATGCTCGACGCCGCCTTCGCGCGCTCGAGGCGGAGGCCAGGGACGCCAAGATGAAGCCCGCCGCGGCCGCCCAGCCGCCAGCCCCCAAGAAGAAGCCCGAAGCCACCCTGCCCCCGCCCCCGCCTCCCAAGAAGAAGCCCGAGGCCAATAGGGACAAGGACAAGCTGCTCAAGCTCAACGCCATGCAGCAGCCTGCGCTGGCGTTCGCCGCGGCAGCGGCTGCTGCGGCGGCAGCCACCTCGGTGCCATTGCCGACGCCCTCATACATGGAGGAGAACAAGCCTGTCGTGAAACAGGAAGCGCAAGGTGAGCGATTTTGTTACATTGAACCACTGCAGCTGGGAAGCCAATCTGTCACTCTCTGTTCACTGATTGCTGTGAAATTCCTGCAGGTTCTGCGCCACCACCGAGGGAGGATAAGGATCGCCCCCCGCTGTTTGGGACCTTGCAATCGTGAGATTGTTGGTGCTGTAATCTGCTTCTTCATCCCCCCTATTCCATTGCGCTTCTGTGCAGCGAAACAATCCGAGGAGAAACTGAAATTTCTGAGTGTAGTGGTCTTGCAGAGTGTTAGGATCCCCATTTCAGAGTCTCCTTACCGTAAATCCTATTCTTGACATGCTAGATGATCCTTCCATCCTATGGATGCTGGTCTGCATCCTGTATTCCGATTTGTTCTCTTATTCGTAGTGATGAAATGTTTTGCTGGTGGATAAATTTTGCGAGATGAAATGCAACCAGGTTCTCCAGCTTCCAAATTGTGTCGCAGATGGCTTTGGTTGTTTATCGACGGAGCTAGGCTCAGAAGACTTTGAGTGCTATGCCCTAGTCGGACAGCAGGGTTTTAGAACGACGAGCATTCCTATTGCTCATCTGTTCTTCTTGCGCTGTGGATTTGTACCAAGTGCTTGGTTGATTGGTTCATGGTGCTGTCTGCACGCGCATCTCCTTCATAATAAGTTAATTCTAAAGCTCATTGCATTGTTAAAATTGCTAAGAAAAGGGAGATTGATCGTATTCATGGAATATAATTGTGTGTGATGCAGATCTCCCACCCCATTCGGTATATGCCTCTTGTACGTTTTGTTCGAGCTCATTGACAGAGATTGATGGTGTTCATGGGATGCAATTGTGTTGTCATACAGATCTCCCATTTCAATGTGTCACTTGTATATTTTGTTCTGTCGAAAATTTATGTTCTTAACCTAAAGCTTGCAATCTTATACGACAGATAGAATTTACATCAGAATGGCTCCTGTCTCGTTAACCACATTGTACATGTCAATCGTTTACCAAGTTTCATTAAGAAACTTGATGGTTCATTGGCATATCATCACACTTGGAAAATTCCATTTTCCAACAGAACTCAAGTGCCAACATATCATGTATATCCCAGAACATCTTACTGAAGCTGAAGTGAGGATCACTTATAAACATGTTTGCCCATAGATAAGTCAGCCACACCATGTTCATGAATAACAAAACTATGCCAGCACAACTGTAGTTTGGAAAGAATGAAGAACCAAACATTGCCAGCACAGCTGTAGTTTGGAAAGAATTGGATGAGCGACACATTATGGGCTACAACTACAACATATGCCTACATTAAAATTCAGCATTATGAAAAACTAGCAGACGCCAAAAGAGGACATGATGCACAGGCAAATCCGGAAGTTTATCTTGTCTTCACTTGTGGACTGCTCAGTATTGTTTTCATTGATCTCTATTTTGTTCATGACATGGTTCACTGTTGCAAGGTTTATAATCTAGTTATGCGCCAAATGAAGCAATGGCGTCCATCTCTTCTTGAAGCACGAGTGCATCAACGAATACGTCCAGGCTCTCCCCCTCCATGACATCTGCTATGGAGTGGTGTGTGATTCCAACACGATGATCGGTGACACGGCCCTGTGGAAAGTTGTATGTTCTGATTCGCTCAGACCTGTCACCACTTCCAATCTGCGAAAAAGTTAGGCCCAGGAAGGCAGTAGTTAACAACTTAACATGTGAGATAGAAATTTCGATTTTAGATTACCTGTTCTGATCGAAGCTTTGATCGGTCCATATGGAGTCTATGCCTCTCCAACTCATACAGTCGCGCTCGGAGAACTTTCAGAGCTTTGGCCTTGTTCTATAGGGATAAATTAGCATGTTAGTTTCTTTATAATGGGCAGGACTTGCGCAGACTCAGTTCATTGGACTTGAAAGCTACGAATAATGCGATTGTCCTAATGACAACAAGGCTATGAATAAACTAGTAAATATGGATGAAACATGAGTGAAAAAGCATGAAATTGAGCACTAGGAACTACTGCTTTCCAGGTTTTAAAAGAGAAACCCAAAGATATGGCATTTAATGTGCACATAAAAAAAATTATTTCATGAATTTTGTAAAACCGAGACCCTTACCATGTGCTGTGATCTCTCATCTTGGATTGCAACCACTGTTCCGGTTGGAATATGAGTTATCCTAACAGCACTATCGGTTGTATTAACAGACTGACCTCCAGAGCCACCTGATCTGTAGGTATCAATTCTCAGGTCCTCATTCCGCAGCTGGACATCAACCTGCATTTTCAGAAGAAACGATTTTATAACTGTTAGTCATGCCATAACTTGTCCAGATGAACAAACTTGACAGGAACATGCCAAAAAAAAAGCTATATCGAATCGCAACCTCATCAGCTTGCGGAAGAACAGCAACTGATACAGCACTAGTGTGCACTCGTCCAGATTTCTCAGTCACTGGCACACGCTGCCATGAGTAGACAGGTCAAATTATAAAATGTCTAAGTAGGTTAATATGATTGATATGGTAAGTGGGTCCGTTATTGTACCTGAACTCTATGAATGCCACTCTCAAACTTTAGTTTGCCAAACGCCCCAGGACCTGATATAGTTCCACTAGCTTCCTTCATACAAATGAATAACGATAGGAAATATATGAATTAAGAGTTTGAGAGCTTCCAAATCTTAAAATGGTGACGATATCTTGGCTACATTGAAAAACCATGTGCACGTATCCAAACAAAAGTTGGGAAACACTAACAAAGGTTGTACCTTGTATCCTTTCACAGCAGACTCCATTATGTCAATGACATCAAATTTCCACCCATTCTTCTGGGCATATTTCTCGTACCTATAACATAGAAGAACCTGAGTTTAGCAACATTGATTGAGAATCACATACATTAGCTGCAGAGCAAGATAACCGACATTCTAAATATATCCATTGCAAACAAAGATGCCTCTTCTCCTCCAGTTCCTGCAAATACGACACCACATCAATCACTTGTAGCCCAATAACAGAGTGAAACTGAAAGGTGAATTGTGCTCATGTGTATGCAAGGCAAGATCTGGTTTACCTGCCCGCACCTCCAATATACAATCCCTTTCATCTGCTTCATCTTTTGGAAGCAATGATATAAACAGCTCATTCTGCAGCCGTTTCTCCTCCTCAACAGCCTCAAGAAGCTCCTCTGCTGCCATCTCACGCATGTCTTTCTCTTCACGAGCATTTGTCACCAAAGATTTAAGACCCTCAATTTCCTACAATACAAACATATATAGACTCCTCTGGATCCTCAATAGTTCATACAATAGGTTGCATCTTGCAAAAATGTAACCGGATCACAACCTCCTGTTTCGACCTCAGCTCCTTGATCAACTCCATGGTGCTCTCCAGCTTGCGGAACTCCTTGTTAGCACTCGAGTACTCTTCGGGCGAGGCGGCTGGCTGTCTTCATTAACACCAACTCACATCAAGGCTATTGCAGCTAGTCTATCTTAAAATTCTCGCACAGTGATAAGCCGTTCCGCTCTTGTTCATAACTGAAATCATCAAAGAGAAGCTTGCCCATCTGAAATTACCTGGTTGATTTGTTCCTGGAGGTACGCGCTCCTCTGCTCGATCAACTTCATTCTCTGCTCCATGATCCCCACTAGGTTCGCAGGCAACTGCTGGCTCATCTCTGATGCAAAAAAAAAAAAAAACAAGGGGACGGAAACAAGATTTCCAGAGCCTTCTTGAAGCATTTTTTTTATAAAAAAAATAGACAAGTTATCAAGTGATACACAGAGAACCATACTATCGCGCGCGAACTCGAAGCTGAAGGAGGGGACGAAGCAAGGAGGGAGAGGAGAGGTGCTCAGTGCTCACCGGCGGTGGAGTAGAGTCGTGGAGGAGGGCAGGGGCGAATCCAGGCCGCAGGAGGCGACGCTGCGGCAGAGGAAGCGTTGTGGCGGAGCCGTCGTAGGGCCGCGAGGGCGCCACCGCCGCATCGGCGTAGGTGATGCTGCATCGCGGCGGCGGGCAGGCGGCGGCGGAAGTGTGACTACCAGTGCTTGTTGCCTTCGGGTTCGGTCGTTTGAGTAAAAGAGCTAGAAAGCGCCTCTTACATGACGTTTACGTACTTCACAAATTCCGCCTTCTGTTGAACTTACGACGTATATGGAGGTATTTCTAGTGTTATAGTCATGGTTTTTGTGTTAAATAAAAGGGAAAATTCATTTTATGGCCCAAATAGTATAATTTGCCGTTTGACTAACAAATCTTTGGCTCATTTTACTCAATTGTTTGAAACTAATCTCTCGAATGAAATTAGTCCCTTTTTTTTGTTTTGTTTCTCCTCATATAGTTGAAGTTTAAGTTCAATTTTACGATGACACATGGCATATTGTCATTATTACAAAAATATACACATGTTCTTTTTTTATTTTTATATGTTAGGAGCAGTGTTATCTGGTCATTCGATTAATCACGATAATCGCCCTGATCGGTATCTAGCACTTTAGAAACCTGGTTGTCCGATTAATCGTCGACTAGTCACGATTAATCATCCAACTAAGCGCCCTGATCGACTAGACATCAAATAGGCAGGTGGGCTGCTTCAGCTTACTGGGCTAGCTCTATTCGGTCCAAGTCCATTAGGGTTTCTCATCTATACCTCTCCCACTCTTTCACTCACCTCAGTCCTCACCCTGTAGCTTGTAGCCTTTAGTTGTCGACTGCAAAGTTGTTACGTGTGCAGCTGGATCTCTTCCCGTCCTCCATCCTCCTTCCCCTCCTCCCTTCCAGTTCTTAGCTGTCTGTCCCTACATCTTCCATGCTACTTCCTCATCCCTCCTATTGTCCTTTTGCTTCCTCCTCCC